GATCTACTAGTTTTTCTTAATGTGATAATACATGAATATTGCCTGTAATGTCAAGACTATAAAAGAATAAGGCTTCTGCAATTTTCGGCGGGTCAGACACCATACATAATCTTTGTCACTGCGATGGGAGCTTTCTTAATTAGCAGCAACATATTGGAACGTGTACTTGTAAAAAAGTCTGTGGCAAAACTATCTGCCAAAAATAATTTGTTGACGTGCAGGTAACCAAGAGCAAGAATCGCAAACGTCAATTCAAAGAATATAAACAATTAATTATCTCATTTTTTAAAAATCTCTGTAAATTAAAGGGGGGGGGGGTATAACGGTTTGTAGGACTTTATCAAGGCGTCCTTCAAGCAGAAGAAATGTTTGCCTGAAAGGCTTTTCATTCTACGATAACTGGACCAATTCAAAATATAAAACATGAAAAAAAAAAAAATAATTGTCACAAAAAACAAAATGAAAATCATAATTCTCTAAAGGTCATATCAGTGAACTAGAAAAAAGAAGTTTCCGCAAATATGGCATCGTTGATTTTTTACAACAATTTTAATATTACATTGATTTTAAGGTAATGTTACGGAAGTTAATGTTTGATCAAGTCTTATTATTTTTTAAATATTAAACGCTGAATTTGACCAATTTTTTGTTTCTGATGTTCGGTATAGAACACTAAAATATGATTTATGAAGTTTCGCATGAATTCAAAATCAAATTAAAATTTCGATAAAAATATCGTAACGGAAGTTAACGTAACGGAAGTTAATTTCCAATTAAAATTCTCGGCGATAGTTAAATTCAAACCTTGTTTTATGATATTAAACAAAAGTATGAAGCATTTCGCTCCCAAAATAAAAAAAAATCGTATGCTTTTAATGCAAAATCGTTCCTGAATTACCGTTACGGAAGCTAAATTTTTAAGAAAGACAACAGTTTTTCTGTAATTCATTTTGTTATTTCGAAAATGTAATCGTCTAAAATAGCTGACTCCTACTAGAATCAAAGATATAAGGTTCCGTGGTCACTTTCAGATAAGATTCAGTTCTTTTTGAAATCTGCATTCTGTTCGTGAAATTTAAAGCAAAATCGTTACGGAAGATACTGAGTAATCGATTTTTAGCGACATGCAATGATTTCGCTAGCTGCAGAACTGTAGCTCTCCGAAGAAATGTATATTGACAGACAGGAGAGCTGCAGTGCCACCCATTGAAAAAAACTGTATATCTATTGCCCACCAAAAAGAGCACTCGGTTCTGTTTCGTAGTTTACATATATATGAAGCGCGGTTGGACCGAATTATTTTGCAAACCAAAATGGCAGTATAAATAGGCGAAAATTTCCGTTGATCTCAATTTCAGGGCCAGGATAGCAATTACAATGAAGCGCATTGAAGTGGTAAAATTTTCTGTTTGGATGGAACGTTTTGAGCAATCTTTAGACACGCCCATTTCTTTAGAAAGGAAAATTCGGTCAAATGATTCAATCGAATACCCGTAGAACAGGTATTTCATAAATATAATAGCCAATGAAATTGACGGTCTACATAAACACCGAGTAAGCACGTGTTCGACCGATACATGTGTTATAGTAACTCCAATCAACATAATAAAATCATATTTATGTACAAATCCGTTGCAATGCGTGTTTTACATAAGCGGGAACTCTATTTACATAGCTCTTCTTCATTTAAAAATCTTCATTTCAGTTTAACTCATGTTGCTTGTCACGGAAAGTGTAGTGTCCTAAAACAATACGACGAATATTCCTATCTCGTTTCTAAAGAAATGGGCGTGTCGTTATTTTATAATTGACGTTCAAAACATGACTCAGAACGTTTCGTCCAAATGGAAAATTTTACCACGTCAATGCGCTTCATTGTAAAAGCAATTATAAGGAATGTTTTTTTTTAGTGGAAAAAGTGAAAGAAAATGTTAAGAACACACAATTAGTAAAATTTGAGATGACAGTTTTAAAATTATGGACATATAAATCGAGAAACAGCGCACTTTTTTCATTTTCGCTAGCCAAGGGTTTCTGATACGCTACTCTCCTTATAAACCCTTGACATACGGTGTTGATAGAAGTTGGGTTTTTTTTTCTCGAGTTCTGATTGGAATTCCATCTTGAAATTGTCAATAAATAAAGCGACATGAAGATTTGCAGTTGAATTCGTTTTTCAACATTACATTATGTTCTTATCGACACTTTCACTGCCTATTTTAAAAATTTACAATACCATGTGTGTATGTTGAGACTTAGGGTTAAAATCGATCATAAAATTTATAGTCAAGATATAGTATTAGAACGGTATATGTGTAAGGTAAAGCGACATAGAAAAATCTTAATTGGTCATGTCTTTGTAGAATGAATGATGAAAGCATTTGCCTGAACGACTTAAACCAAAGATAAAAACAAGTTCATTGATTATGTTTACATTCAATAAGGAATCTAGATGTATAAAGGCAACGCAAGATCACTATTTTATTGTTAATGCATGTCATATCGAAATGAACGAGTCCTGTATACATGTATATACATGGTATATAACACTGTGGAACATATTTCAGGCTACATAGATTTGGTTACTTTTCTTGTTCCACGGCAAAGAGAGTGGTCGTATATATATAAATACATTATTTGTGCCGAATGAAATTTCCTTTGCTTTCTGAAAATAAATCTTATTTGTATGAAGACATGTTATCAATTTTTGAGTAATTTGATTTTTTTTCTTCTATTTTTCGGTTTTATTATTTTTAGAATTGCTATATTTCATGTTTTTTAAATAGAAAAATGAAGAAAAAATATTACAAGTAACCGAGACGAAGAAAAATTGATTAAAAGGGTAGAAACTAATACCCCTAGAGACAGTTTTCAGAGCAGTTCGACTTAATGAATAAATGCCAGTGTAACTGATATTCACAAATCAATGGACTCTTTGTCTCATAAAATAATGAGGTTCATATTTGATTAAACGATGGATCAAAATTATTTCGAAATAAGTTCAATCTTTTTTGACCCAAAAACAAATGCATTCATAAACAGTATCCAAGCAACACTTAATCTGATATTTTTTCAATGCACATTTTTTTTTTACGAAAGGCTCACTTACAAGCACTCCCTTAATGTTGATAACCAGGGAACAATATACAAACTCTTCATAATTACAAAACATAAATGGTATTGTGAAATTTTTCAACACACATGTTGAATTGTATAGAACGTATGCATTTCAAAATGTTTTACAGGAAAATTTTCTGTACAAATACAATATATCATCAGCCTAAAAGGACTAAATTGAATATTTTATACCCCTACTTCGGAGAAGGGAGGACATATTGCTTTGCTGCTTCTGTTGGTCGGTCGGTCTGTCGGTCCACTATCAGTTTCCGTTCATTTTTTTCGCAGAGATTACACATATTGAAATGAAATTGGTATATAGATTTTTCATAAGAATATCTTGGTCAAGTTCAATTCTTAGTAAGATCGACCCATTTTGGACAGAATTATGCCCCTTAGACAAAAAAAATCCAATTATTTGCAGTTTCCATTTTCTTTGCAGAGGTTGCACATATTGAAATGAAATTTGGTATACATATTTATGATAAGAATATCTAGGTCTAGTTCATTTTTGAGTTCGATCGAGTCATTTTCAATTTGGATAAAATTATGCCCCTTGGGCTTAGTAAAATTCCAATTATTTAGGGGAGGAAGGCATAAGTGTTTTACAAACAACTCCTGTTATTATATAAATATAGAGGTCCATCAGTAGTATATCGACTTGACAGAAAAACAAGGCATTCTGACCGAGCACAAAGTGTCAAGTTGATATATCCTTGGATTCACCGATTGAAAGGGCTACATATGTTCTATTATTTTAAGATAGACTGACAAAAAAATTTGAAAATAATAAAAACAAACATTAAGTTTTCATACAGAGATTAATTTAAAGTTTTCTTTTTAGTACCATTGTGTTCCTTCTACTAATGTATTACTTCTAAAGAACAGAGCATCATAGTATATTACACTACTTAGAGTTAAATTATCAGTATTTTATTTAACAAAACATCAAATCATATTAACTTTGTAAAGTCAACACAGTTTTAAAGATGAATTTTATTTGTAGAAACATCATGTCAATTTCAATGTGCATTTCAGAAAAATAGCAACGGACTATAATTAAATACTTCATCATGTGATCACGTTTTATCCAATCAAAGAGCTTGGAACAAAAGAGAGAAAAATTATATACAATGATATCACTTATTCAACTGGTGATATCACATATTCGAAATGGTGATATCACATATTCGAAATGGTGATATCACATATTTGGTATTTGGCTTGATGACATTAACTACTGGAGTATTCGAATTCATCTTCATTTTGAATAAATAATATCACTTTGCTACATTAACCATTCGAAAAGGTACTAGTAATATCACCTATTCGAATAAGTGATATTACCCAATCGAATAGGTGATATCACTATTAATGGCAAAAATAACAAAACGATGCCTCATAGAATATACCAGTATATTTAATTTATATTAAAAACTGTGTAAAATCCTTTTTAATCCTTCTTAGTTCATCTGCACCAAAGGGTAAAAGTAAAAAAGCTAATGGTATGTCTAGCGTGTGGTGCCCAGAAAGATTTTAGAATGTGGACCATATCTTAACAACCTTACGAGAAATCTCATATAAAGCCAAAAGTAGAACATGTAGTATCCTTGGGCCAATCGTTTGTTTTTGATTTAAATAATCGTCGATAGACAAAAGTCTTTCAGTAATGGAAAAATATTGAATCTTTCTCTCAAAAGACAAAGCCTTTCTCCTTATGAATCTGAGAGATATTTTTAGGAACAACACCCCATGATTCATTAGACCGATTTCAGGTTTAATTGGTCAGTTTCAAAAACGATGTCCTTTTGCTTCATCCGTCACCCTGAAAATTGATAGGCTTCATATCGACGTTCTGATTATTAATACGAAGTATAAACACAGTGACAGCGGGTCGATACTCTCACTTGTCGCCTGATACCTACACGAGGAGCAATAGGTAGAGCGTACCATAATTATTCTTCTCCCTGGAATGGTACCACACAATTGACACTAGAGAATACAGAAACCACAGAATCCCAAACAAAAGTCTTAACTACTGACAATTCCTACTTAATTTAGAGATTTATCCCAGAGAACAAATCGGGAGCTACGAGCGGTTGAAGCTTTCGCCAACTATTGATTGAGGTGGAGCCTGGTCCGCCGTCCAGATGCTACTGTCCAGTGTCTTTGGGTCCTCCGTAAGGTATGTTATCTGTATTGATTGGACACATTGATACAATGTATCTAGTTCAATATTGATATGATTTGTTTTTGTTCATCTTGCTGTTCATTCGCTGTTCTGGAATTATTGATGCATTCGGCGACACAATCGATGGATAAACGGTTTGAAATGCAGTGAGACGAAAAATATATTATTAAAAAAAAGGAAAAGTGAATTCTTAATTACCAGAAGCCAGGTAGGTGATGCGAGGGTTATTTGAGTTTATACGCATCTAATTCTGGTAATTGATTAATTTTATCTTTATATCTTAAGATCGATGAAAAACTTCTGTCATTCTTGTCTTTGGGTACAGATAAAGCTTGGTTTATCGACGAATATCATGGTCTCATAAAGACACGAACAGTGCAATTAACTCAGTCTCTGCAACCATTAGCCTTTGTAAGATAGGCGTATGTGACAATTAATTAGGTCAAATTCTGGAGATATACCGATAATTGGGTTGAATTTTTATGTGGATATGAAATGGACTTTCTATCGACCACACTTGCAAGGGATTCACGTATCTTTACACTTTAACTTAGTAAGCTATTATTGCTGCAAGAGTTTTCAATCTTTTTAGACATTTCCATAACAAAAAAGGTACTTCTGTAGTTAGTTTGTTAATTTCTAAATCTTTTAAAAATGTATGTTTGTTTTAACATTTTTTTGATTTTATGCGATTTTGTGGATCAATTGCACACAGGTCAGATTTGGCGTTAAAGGTATAAGTAATAAAAGAAACTCTTTTTGGAAACCGAAAATGCATAAAAACTTTCAGATATTCGCTCGTAAAACTTCATTTTGCTGTAGTAAGCACTCTTTCGTACATCAAAGATTGAGAAGAAAAAAAAATAATTTTTAAAAACTTATCAGAAAGGAGTAATTCACCCAAGGATACAAAGATCACGGTTTAGAATAAAATCAGAAAACATATACTTAAAGTAATTTAAAAGAAGGAGGATTTGAAATATATTCTTCAATCAGGTGACACAAAGTCTGTTTTCTTTTAAAACACGGACATATATGGACATTCTGAATCAGAATACGCTGCATGTGTTTTTTAAAGTGATTTGCGATATATCGTAATGTTGCTAAACCTTATGAAATATACAAATCTGTGTAATCAACTAAAACAAACTGCTTGCCTTTAGTGTTTGTCTATTTTTTATGTTGATTAAGAGAAAGTTATTTGAGGGCGTCTGGTACACAGTCATCAATATAGATAGAAATATTGGCTAAGTAAAGAAAACGACCATCACAGCTCACGACATTTGTTCAGATAAAGTCTATCAAATTGTTGACGCTTGGTTTCGCAAATACCATTTTTTGTTCTTCTTGAAAAGCAGGATTAATAGTCAGGGAATACCGGGCTGTTGTGTTATTTCCTATCTGTCTTGTCTAACAACCTCCCAATGATCACATTTGTCATCGGTAAGATCGATATCTGTAAAAGACACGAGGCTAGGAAGACTTTCCAAGGATAGACAGTCCTAGTTCCGTAGTTATCGGGCTTCTGGACCGGAGGACACGATGGAATGGCGACCGGAAGTCCTATCAAGGTCCAGGAAACCCTTGACTGTTTCCGTTTCTAAATTACCTATGAAGTCATACAAAATAGTCATGTTTTGATGCAGGGCTCAGTATATCATTGCATGGCCTCTTAATTAATACTGAGCCCAGAATAATGCTCGGTTCCTAATCTCTCATGTTTGCCTAATTCGTATAATATGGGCTTACATTGTCATTTTCAACTTTGCTCATTGCTTTCTTTTTTTAAGTTTGCCTAAAAAGAAAAAATGCCCCAAAACATATTTTTAACTATGTTGAACCCCTTTTTTGCAAAACTCAGAAGACAAGATGGGAGGAGGCGGGATCATCAAAACAAACAATATACATGTACATAAAATGAGTTTATCCGTGTTATCCAATATCGTTGTTCATCCACGTCCATTCGCGTTATCGTTGTGCAGGCAACTGTTCGATTCTAATCTTAAATATAAATATATATATATTCGAGTGTTGCTGTATTCATTGTTTACATGAGAACAAAGATAAAGCGTTTTGCAGTCTTCGGACTTCCTTGATATTTTTCTGCTTCGGCGTGAATTTTGGTTTTCTTTCTTTCATTGGTTAAAATGTTGTTTAATACAAAAGAGACAACTTAATTACCTGATTCAAATCTCACAATGTTGGAAGGAACGTTTCAGTAATGTGCATGTTTCATTTATCTGGACAAAAAGCATGGGAACACAAGCCATACTCCATATGTGATGACTACTCCCTCTACGCATAACAAGAAGCCCAGGGGCCACAGCGCTCACCTGAGCACATCGGCTAGGAAAATGCACAAATCAGATCAGAATTGAAAAGTTTACTGAGGTGGTGTAGTGGGGTTGGGTGGGGGGCTTGAATTCTAATACTACTTGAGAATGCCTCCATATCAATTCTGCTATTAACTTACTGAGAGAGTTCTTGAGAAGATTTTTTAAAAAGATTTTTCCTATATATTCCTATGTAAAACTTTGATCGGCCATTGTGGCCCCACCATACCCCCGGGGCCATGATTTGAACAAACTTGAATGTACACTATCTGAGGATGATTCAACATGAGTTTCATCTTTCCTGTCCCAATGGTTCTTGAGAAGAAGATTTTTAGAGATATTTTCTATATATTCCTTTGTAAAATTTTGATCGACCATTTTGGCCCCACCCTTGCCCCGGGGGTCATGATTTGAACAAACTTCAATGAACATTACCTGAGGATGACTCAACATGAGTTTCATCTTTCCTGTGTTTATGGATCTTGAGAAGAAGATTTTTTAAAGATTTTTCACATATCTTCCTATGTAAAACTTTGATCGGCCATTGTGGCCCCACCCTACCCCCGGGGTCATGATTTGAACAAATTTGAATGTACACTATTTGAGGATGATTCAACATGAGTTTCATCTTTCCTGTCTCAATGGTTCTTGAGAGGAAGATTTTTAAAGATTTTTCCTATATGTTCCTATGTAAAACTTTGATCGGCCATTGTGGCCCCACCCTACCCCCGGGGGCCATGATTTGAACAAACTTGAGTGTACACTATCTGAGGATGATTCCAAATGAGTTTCATAATTCCTGGGCCAGTGCTTCTTGAGAATAAGATTTTTAAAGACATTTCCTATATATTCCTATGTAAAACTTGATCGGCCATTTTGGCCCCATTCTTGCACTGGGGGTTATGATTTGTACAAACTTGAATCTACACTACCTGAGGATGATTCCACATGAGTTTCATCTTTCCTGGCCCAGTGGTGGCCCAGTGGTTCTTGAGAAGATGTTTTTAAAATGCCATTAATTTTTCACGAATTCATAATTATCTCCCCTTGGAAGAGGATGTGGCCCTTCATTTGTACAAACTTGAATTCCCTTTACCCAAGGATACTTTGTGCTAAGTTTGGTTGAAATTGGTCAAGTGGTTCTTGAGAAGAAGATGAAAATGTGAAAAGTTTACAACGCCAACGACGACAACGACGACAGACAAAGGACAAATTTTGTTCAGAGTAGCTCACTTCAGCCTTCAGCTCAGGTGAGCTAAAAGTAGTGTAACGTAATCCTAAGCTGTCTTCAGCTTGTACACAAGCTTTCGGATAAACGAGGTTTGGCTGTATATAACGAACCTTAAACCTTAGACTTTCTGAATGACATAGTTTTAGGTCATGGATAATATGTGTTCAAAGGAAAGAATGAGTTTTCAGAGAATACACCAAATTTCCCTTTGTGGTAAGAATTCAGAAGTCTGCCGACAATTTATGTCGGTCTGCAAAAGTACAACCTTTGAATGTGCGTTAATTTTCTTGTTGCGGGGGTTGGGTGGTTAAAAATTTCGGGCTGAGAGCCAATATAAGTGTAACAGAAGTATATTTCAAAGATTTCATTTTCCCAAGACAACAAATTAAGTCTCATTTAATTACTAGTACCTTTTCGCATCAGTAATCTCTATTGATACTTAGAATTCAATGAGTGATTATCAAAGCTGTTCAATTCTAGAAGAATGGCGGCTGAAACATATGAAGAACATTGTTACTACTAAATGTACATATATATGACTAATTCTAAATGTCAAACGAATACTAATGGATGAAATTAGAGGATGCCAATGACTAATTGCAGTACTGCCTTGACTTCTTGTAGAAAACGAGTCTATTATCTCACTATTGTATTTATATATATTAAGTTACAATATTGCTTAACTGTGCGGTTTGTTAGAGAGTCTAAGTTTCTTGTGCCCTGCAATTAGTAGTCTTTATTTAATATCGGCTAGTCTGTAGTAAAGGTGATAATTTAGGGTTTATTGTTATGCACTTTTAACGAACATTTGATTGTGGTCCTGTACAAAATATCATATACATGTATACTTAATATCAAGAAGGCACCAGTATTTAAAAATCTCTCAATGGAAAGTTATCTCTCTAATTCATTTTCAGATAAGTGATTTATACGGTGGTTTAGTCATTATGCATGCATTACTTTTACAGGTTGAAAGAGATAATATCAAACATAATAAGGTTCTTTAGTTCTTCAAAATTAATAAAAACAAAATATCTCTGCACTAACAAAACCATTTGCAAATAATTTAAACTAACTTTTATGTGATTTCGGAAGTAAGAATATGCTATTATTTTTTGTCAAGTTCACTGAAATGTGATTTTATCAAAAGTACTAAACTAACCTTTACGTACTGTGTAAGTATTTTACCATTTCTGGAACATTTAGATTTGCCGCATACAAATGAACCCAGTTACACAACTGTAATAATATCGTGAGAAGTATACCACTCGCGAAATAAAATTATTTTTATGGAGCTTAAAAACATTAAGTACAATGATTAACCGTCCAATCACGAATTGTTGTTTCCGCGAATTGATGATTAAAACTATACCCACATAAAATAAGGGATCTACAGTAATTGTATCTGTTTTTGAGAACAAATATAGTCT